TATTAACACAATAATAAATAATTAAAAATAAATTTGAATGTGTTTTGTAATTAGAAAAAATAATAAAAATAATAACAAATGTTCATTTAATAATTTAAATCGAAAATAATGTATTATAGTTCAAGAATTCTATACTAAGCACCTAAGCACCTAACAAATTGAAAATGTTAAGGAAGATTTAACATTTTCTTTAAATCTATCGAAAACTCAACACAATCATAACAGCAACAATCATTCAAAATAGAAACACTTTTGCTCATACATTCAAATACACACAAACATTTGCGAGCTCGCTTTCATTTATACCAAAACACACACTAACGTACAATATTCAGATTTTGGAAATATGAGAAACTTTCCAAAAAACTGAAAGAAAAACGAATTTGCTTAAGGGTGGCCAACCCTTATTATAGAATATACTGAACTATAATATTTTAAGAAATAAAATATGAGAGAAGTAAAATTACAAAACAAATAATGAAGATTGTTATAATCGCTACATTTAAACATTTGTTATTTTTGGGTAATTAAGTGAGGATAAATATTTGAAAATAATAATAATTAAGTAATTACCATTTGGTACATACAATGAGTAAAGTATATTGAAGTCATTACAACTTCAATATTAATTATACATATGGTAGAACCAAAAACAAATTAACAAAATTATTATCATTAAGAAAAAAAAGAAAACGAAAACACATTCAAATTAACTAAACTTAAATTGATTAAATTGAGATCTTCTCCAAATCAATAGTAATTTAATGCAACCTAAATTAAAACATGTAAATAAAACGGAAATACGGACAAGAACAAAGGGAATCAATTAATTAATGATTTTGAATTGGCGCATTAATTTTAAAAATAGGAAAACTTGAAAAGAATTTAAGAAAAAGATGAAAAATTAATTAAAAATTTTGAATAGGCGTAATAATAATTGGAATTATGAAAACCTGAAAAGAATTGAAGAAAAAGAAGCAAAAGTAATTAAATGTTTTGAATAAACGCAGTAATCATTGAAATTATGAAAAATATTTTTATGTTGAGGTGGGAGGGCTGATTGTTGTTGAATCCCGTGTGGTATAAAATCACTTACTACTTGATGTCTTCATCACCAACTGTTGCATCTCTGCACATCTCCATCTCAGACCACGAACACTCGCGATAATTTAGCAAAAAAATACGCACAAATCTCCCGGAATTTTAACACTCCCATGATTCTAACATTAGTAAAGTTATAGCAAATTGAGTAACGAGTAACTCACGGTTGAAGAACAAGAGCCGAAGCCTTAAACTTGTTTTCAAAATAACGAACAAACACTGTAAATCAGAATGTAAGACTAAGAATCAGCTAATGGCCAACACTTAACTCTTAACGACACCTGTCGCGATGCAAAAGAAATGAAATTTCGGGGAAAACGCGAGCCCCTAGATCCACTGTGATCTGTCGGTGATTGCTCCCATATTTCGGATACGAGCAACGACCTTAACGGATGCACCTCGAGAAGGTTTTAGCACAGACGGTCTTGCCATTCCATACAAATCACTGCGAACGTGATTAAATGCATAGAATGACCTGGTATTATGAATACCTTGCATCCATATAAATAACGAATATTAAGAACCGAAGCTGTAAGAAAAGAAACTTGAGATGGAGTAAAGATTTCAATTACTCACCATTCATCAGCATCGTCAATTTCCATTAATTATTGCGCACTTCTAATTGGAACGATGTTGACTTAAGAAAGAGACGCGCACAACTGTGGACGCCACAATCGTACCACCCGGCACGTCGATTTTGTTTTTTTTTTATTGCAATAAAAATGCATTGTTGCTATCAGTTGGTATCGACGTTAAACAATAGAAAGTGGCGGGAGGAAAGCGTCGGTCCGCCATTTTGTACTTTCCCAAATTTCTAATTAATTAACGCGAATATCTCAATTACTACTTATAACAGAAAACGCACATTTTAACACAAGCTACGCAATCGATTAGCGAACAAATTTGGAGACTTTCAATGCAATACGAATTTCTTTTTTTCGGTTTAGAAACGGTTTAATTACTCACCGTTAATTGCCTCAAATCTAATAGAATCGATGGTTTTCTTGATCAGCAAGAGAATTCACTGTTTTCGGTCGAGTTGCACAACAATTTCGAACGTTCAAAAAGCGGGAACGCACGCCGACGCTTTGAAGATCGGATCACGACTGAACTCCGCTCAATTGTTACAGGTGATACCAACTGATTATGTTTAATTGAAAAATAATCATGGTAACGCCAATAAAACAAAAACCTATCTCCACAGCCACCTTTTCAAGATATTTTAAACATCTCATAAGAAACCGATACAATTATTACATTTAAATACTCAATATATTTGTCAAAATTATATATAAATTGATTGCCGAAACAATCAAATTTAAATATTTTTTTCTTCTCTTCTCTCCTCTAATTACAAAAACAAAAAACATATACAATAAATATATATATTGAAAGTGAGTCGTCACTAGATTAAAACAAATCGAAATCCAGGTCAGGTTTGGGCACCTCGAACGAAGTCTCCTGCAGATCCAGTGTGAGTGTGTCAACGTGATAGGCGACAGGTTGCACCTCCTCACGTTCCAGCATATTCCATTCCACGTCCAACGAAGGCGACAGATTGTTGGTGTACTTGTACAATATATTCCTTACATCCCGTCCACTGAATCTCTCAGCCTTGGACAGAACAAACTCCTCGTAAGTTTCCTCTGAAATCATTCGAATTAATCATTAGTTTTTTTTTTAACAATTTTTTTTCTTATAACACCATCAGTTTCGTTTCTGCTGCAGACGTCCAAATAAAAGTTGTACGGCTCCTCCTTGGGTATCTGCACTTCTGGAGCTTTCATCTTCTTGCCGATCACCTTCCTGTGGGAATGCTGATTGACAGATTGATCGGCCAATGCATTCCGTTGGATGTTGGCGACGTTCGTCTTCCTGGCCACCTGTACATCGGCATCTTCACAATTAACAGAAAGAAAACAGTTGAAGATTTAAAACAATCGAATGTGTGATAATGAGTACTCACTTTCGTTGAAGTGCGCTATGGATTGGGCGAACATCTTTGCTGAATCTATCTCGTGTCTGTGTGACTTTGTTTCTCGTTGCTAACACTCTTTCTGTTGTTTTTTTTCCTCTGTTCTTTTCGATATAAACAAAAAAAACTATTATAATTTTGTATATTTCTTTTGTCAGGGTTATTTGTAACCGATTTGATGCAGGTTCGGAAACTTTCATACACCAAAAGTAACCAACTGGAGAATTCCAAATTTCTTTCATATCTCATCAATTTGTTTAATAATAACAATATTAACTAATTTATATTAAGCACAGAACAAGCAAATATTACTTCTTCTAATGCCTCTACTCTATAGAAAAAAAAAAGAAGGTATGCAACTTATTTCACACCTTAAGCAAATATTTGAAATTATTACGTTAATTGCAACAAATCTACTCATA